AATTAGTTTTCTAAAAAACGGATTACTGTATAGATAAAAATTTCAAAAACACATGAGAAAGGAACAAAAAATGGAGTTCGTGAGAATTTGAGAGTGAGGATGTCTTCACTGTATTCGAAATATTTTTCAGCAAATAAATACGAGTCAAGACCTAAATATACAAGATGATAGAGAATTCCGAGCACTATCAGAATACATAATTAATTTCCTTAAAATGTAGTTTTATATTGGCAATATAATTCGGCTGATTCAAACGTGCAGAACTTATGTTCCAATCTAATAGATAGAACAAATCACTGAAAAATAGGCTCTAACTGTTTTTTCTTCACTATACCTGGAAAGAGACCCGATTCCGCAGCACCCAAAAACAGGCGACATGCAAGAAGACCTCCAAAAGAATTTACCAAACCCATCAACGTCATCACGATGCCCCATGCTACCATGATAATTGGTATCCATCGACTAGGTCGGAGTCGTTTGAGTATTAGATTCGAGGGAATCTCGAACAGAACGTAGAGAATGAAGAACACACTCAGACATGCATTGTATTGAGTACTGCTCAGCTTCAGCGACACTGTTAAACCATCAAGTTTCGCCTGACCAATATTCACTCGATCAAGAAAACTCAGTAGATAGAGGAATGTCATAGTTGGAATCAGGTGCCAATCCAATTTGCGCAGGAGTTCTTTATCTCCTGGATCATGTTCCTTGTCATTGACGAAAACAATATTCACTTCGTTCATGATAGAGTTTGTCATGACAGTGGTCGATAGACTTTTCTTCTCACTAACACTGAGATCGCTCATAGTATCTATAGAATATGGCTGTTATCAGCAGTGACCACTCGACACTAGTAATTTTGTATATGTGCGCGTGAAAACAGGAATATTAAGAGAAAAATAGATAACATCGCCCAAAAGTGCAACTCCGATCCTGATAATTTTCATCAAGGTGTTATCAAACCGTTTTATCTCGCTCTCTTTGGTGACTAATAACAAAATGTGCTTGACGGTGAGACTTTTTCGCTTTGCTTGAAGCATTGATATGATAAGCAACTAAAACAATATTCAATGTAATGACCGATACAGAAAAATGAGAAACTAATGCTCAGCGATATGGCGTAGTGCTAGACAGGACATCATAATGGTTGTGGATGCCAATGAAGAGGAGTTTCAGACTCAGACATCCACACTCACATCCATTCATACTAAGTTAAAACGTGTCGCCTCTCGAATATTGATTGAGAGTGGCATTTTCTCGACTAATAAATTATCGAGAAATAATCTAAAAAAAATTATTGTGGAAATATTTATTTTTCTTACAATCAACCGTGTTGCTTATATATGACTGTGCGTGCGTAACAAAACCGGTGAATGAATAGTGAACAAACAAAATGTGACAAATTCATATACAACACATTCTAAGCGCAACACATTGTTATGCTGGGATGCACGACACAATAACTCACAACATATAAATGCGACACATTTTATGTTAGAGTGTTATGACGTTCTACTCAGCACGACGATATCTACCAACTCACTAAAAGAATTAGTTTTTTATTTTACGGATCAATAAGATCACCGGCCGAAAATTCGACATAGACTTAATTTTCAACTTGATGTAAGATTTTAATAAATCGAAATAATAGATGAATATCGTCTAGAAAAACTTATCAATTGAATAACAGTCAAGTGAATGCATTTTGACAAGGTGCGGATATGGATGCTCAGTGTTTGTCTTTTTATCATTTGCAAGCATCCACACACATTGAAATAAATGAGGATTCAAACTGAACCACTTTATTTCAGTTTTGAATTGAAGAATTCATTCAGCGTCATTCGCATTACAAATCTCGCCATTTGTTGCATATATTTAATCTCTAGTATATTGACATCTTCCAACGCTTGTATTTCTTTCCATATACAATATGCTGCTTCTTATATGGTATTTCTTAAGCGTTTTGGTTCATTGTCGCAGATAAATTGTGTTAGATATTGAATATCGTCTATGTAAAATTCAAACATATCCAGTATCGTGGAGCCTGATGCGCAGAATAGGGTGATTGCCAATGCTTCAAATTGTGATGGATAGTGTTGACGAACAAATTCCCGACCGTCTAGCATGCTTATTACAATCCATGATCCTACAGGGTGAAAAAGTGAATTGAGTTTAATTGGATATTTTCGACTAATTTATACTATCCTTTTATCAGATAGTGGCATTGTTTTCTATAGCCAAAAGTGCCAATGAATACTGTTGGGGTCGGAAACGCATGGATCAAAGTCGTAGCGTTGTTATTTACCCTTTTCATGGTACCATACAAGTAGCGTTCATCGACATCGAAGGTCGATTCACTGGGCCCTAGACTGGCGGGATGATGACAAGCAGATGATTGTATTTTCCTGGTCATTTGTGCCATAAAAATGGTCATGTGTCTCATAAAAATGGTCATTTGTGCCATAGAAATAGTCATTTTTGCCAAGTCCGTGTTACAGACAGAAAGACAAACAGATGGACACATAGACACAGGTGAATTACGGTTTCTAGACCCTAGCCTTTCAGTCTAGAGAATAGAATGCCATGCCACTATCATTACAATTCAAATGTTTGTACCAACTATGTAACGTTGAAAATCTTTCGATATCTTTGTCATTAGTTTTTTCTTGTATTTTTATAGAATGATTCATACAAGCTTTCAATACAAACAAACTATCATAAACTGTTATCGATGGATATAGATATGGTTATCATGGTTTACTTCTCATATGTGAACAGAAAAATTAAGTTTGAGTAAAATGAAATAGTTTTAAATTTTCGCTTGCTTTTAAATTAACAACTTTATTAGTTTTAAATAAAGGGATTGAATTTCACAATTAATTTTTAAAGATGTTATCAACAAGAGTACATAAAGAAAATAAATCATTCTAAAAAATTTTAATAAAGAGTTAATTCAGTTTAATAAAAATTACTGTAATTTTGTAGAGAACATAAGTTTTAAAATAGAACAAGTTATTGAATTTACTATTATCCATTGAAAAAGGGAATCATGATAGAGAAAATCAATGTCTCTCTACCTATACAAGGTCAACTTCTCTAGGTGCTTTCGTTGCTAGGTTATAAACATTCTTTTGAAATCCCCGAAATCGATCAATTAACCATTGGTCAATTGGCCGATTTCGGAGGAAACTATTTTGTTAGCAAGTTTACCTTTATATCCAACGATCCCTAGTGAAAAATGTTCGTTGAATAGAACGGCAGCGAATGTATTTTATAAAATTAAAAGCTTTGTTTTTTAAAGAGAAGGAAACGTGCAAGCAAAAATGGAATACTTTCTTTTCTGAAAAAAAGATCTGCCACCTTTTCCGAGCATGTTCTTGATCGTTCCAATTCAAAATGATGAATAATAGATTCCACTTTCCTAAGAAAGTGTTCTCAATTAAATTCATAGAGAGAATTGAAATAAACGAATTTCAACTTATCTAAAACCATTCCTTTCTTATGTTCTTCTCTAAACTACATGGAATTCATTCTCTCTACTTTAATACGGGTTCTTTTTTAGGATTTAATATTAATCCTTTCGTTTCTCCTAGATTCGAATTTAAGAGTCTCGATTAAACAAATTAATATGTTGCTCACAAAAATAATTTGATGATTTAAATTAGAAACAAGCATATTAATTAAATAAAATAAAACAGCAGAGTGAACAAATTTTAGAAGATTATTTTTCAGATAATCAATTATGATAAATGCGTATTTTAATTTAGTTTTTATGAAATAAAAGCAAAATATGAATGAATTGGGCTGATATTGCACCGTTATGTTGTGAACACTAAAACACTCATATCTTAGCTTCTACTCAACGGATTGGGACAATTTTTTGTTCCAAATATTCCTTATTTTCTATCCTGCTTATCATAAAAATATCAAGTCTTTTGATTGTTGTTGCTATGATGTTTCCAAGCAAGAAAATAAAAAATCAGCGCTTTTTGGCACTTCTTACCGACGAAAATCACTTTTTTTTGTGAGACAATTGTGATTGAATAAAAATAATTTTTTAGATCTATTTTGTAGCTAAGACTTTTCTCTTTCTGACTATAAAAACTAATCACAGTTTTGGTTTCAATTTACCCATGAAATCTTGCAAAAACTATCTAAACATACACTTTGATCTTTTTATCTCCAGATAAGTTAAATTGAAACTACACAAATCCGATTTAAAAGCAAGCGTGAATTTTCTTTTTGTGTTCGATAGAGTAAAGGGCCCGAAATGTTTTGGTAAAAATTTTTTTTTTCAGAAATTTTTAGATCGAATGAAAAGCTAAAAATAAGAGGAACAGATAGGTATTGTTCCACTAAACGTCTCAACATATTATTAATTTTGTTTCTTTGGTTTCTCGATAACTACAAAATGTTAATCAGGAATTTTTTAATCATTTTTAGCAGATATTACAGGTTTCGTCTTCACAACTTGTCTTCTATGTTCTCCTTTCTATTTTACACTTATTCACTCTTTCATTCTTGATTGTATATAAACCGCAATTCTATCTTTTGTTTTTCTTTTTCCTCAATATCATATCGTTCGTTTCTTCTGAAGAGATCATCTCCTGCTTCGATGTCATATTTTGCGTCGTATACAGGATTTACTTTCCGCGGATTTACTTTCCATTGATTATTTTTGACTTTAATTGATTCTTTTTCACAGAAAAATGTCTTTTTTGCTGTCGAGGATTTACTTTCCATTGATTAAAAAAAAAATTTATTCCAATTAGTCGTTTTCTTAATTGTGGATTTACTTTCCGTTGATTGTTTCGTAGATGAGTAATGAGCGAACGAGTTATCATTCTGATAATCAATTCAATGAAACAATGATTAACTGAATTTTTAGTTTCAAATGAGCAATGCTCATCAATTTCGAAGCTATATTAGTTAACTGGGAGAATTTCGTAAAAATGAATATAAAGCTAAGGATACAGTATTCTTTTCTTCGTATCTACAAAATGTCTGCTGAATTTATTGAATCAACACATGGTAAAAAGCAATTATGTTACCTCGGTTATCGATATTGTTTCAAACGTAAAAATCAAAATGGATCTGAATATTGGGTTTGTGTAAAATGCACGGCAACAGCGACAAGTTATTCAGATTTATCCGTTGTAGTACGTGATGAACATACACATTTACCTGATGAAACTGACAAAATTGTCTTAGAAATGCGAAAAAATTTAAAACGAAAAGCTATAGAAGATTCTGGTCCAATAGATCGTATATTCGAAGAAGCTTATCATATAATTAATATTAAATCCAATGATTTGATTGTTAATTTACCGTCTATTAACACATTAAAAAATAATTTACAAAAGCATCGTCGTAAAACTCGTCCACCAGTTCCTCGATCAATTGAACAACTTCCATTACCATTACCTGATGTTTATTGCAAAACAACACAAGGTGATTGGTTTCTATTATATGATGGACTACTTGGTGGTACTCGTTCACTTATTTTTTCCACTTACAATGATATCGTTTATTTATCACAGCAACAACATTGGTATAGTGATGGCACATTTTATACATGTCCATCTATCTTTTATCAGATTTACTCTATTCATGCATGTTATGATGGAATTTCTACTCCATGTGTCTTTGCATTACTTGGAGGTAAATCTGAAGAAATTTATTTTGATTTATTTGCAATAATATTCAGAAAAATGATGGAATTTCAATTATTCATAAAATTACGTACCATTACCATTGATTTTGAATTAGGTGTTGCTAATGTATTTGCCAAACATTATCCAACTGTTACTGTTCGCGGTTGTTTATTCCATTTCGGCCAAGCTTTATTCCGTAAATTTGTTGATATTGGTTTAAAAACACCATATAAAAACGACGAAAATCTTCGAGATTGGTTTTGATCTTTCGCAGCAATATCATTATTACCATTACATCATATGTTATGGGGTTTACAATATTTAGTGGGTATTAGACCTAATTATCCAGGTATTCAAACATTTCTTGATTATTATCATAATACATTTGGGCCGTTCAGTCGATTTCTACCACATATGTACAATCATTATCGTAATATTACACCTCGAACAATTAACTATTTAGAAGGTTGACATAATTGTATGAAAAAACACGTTAATTCTCCACATCCAAATATATATGTCGCAATTGATTTATTACAAAAAGAACAAGCTTTAGCCTCGATTGTGAGATTACAAGACGACCTAGGGGCTCCAACTCCAAAATGTCGCAAGAACAATGTTATTTCAGATGAATGTTTGATGAAATTATGGAAACGTTATGATGAAGGTCGTATTGATATTCCAGCATTCTTAAAAGCAGCTGGGTTGAGATACTTTCAACGTGCACCAAAAAAAAAATAGTTATCTCCTTTCCTTATTTTCTTATTTATTCAATATTTGTTGAAACTTTTTTCTTGTTGTCTATATATTTATTGTAATTTTTCTCTGACAATACATTGATTATCAGAATGATAACTCGTTCGCTCATTACTCATCTACGAAACAATCAACGGAAAGTAAATCCACAATTAAGAAAACGACTAGTTGGAATAAAATTTTTTTTAATCAATGGAAAGTAAATCCTCGACAGCAAAAAAGACATTTTTCTGTGAAAAAAATTAATTAAAGTCAAAAATAATCAATGGAAAGTAAATCCGTGGAAAGTAAATCCTGTAATCCGTTGTTATGACCTCTTGCTAATCTTGCTTTTCTCTTTCCTCATCATCTTATCTTTCTATGGTTCTTTTTTATGTTCATCTAAATTTTTTGGCTTTCTCCTATATAAGTATGTTCTGAATATCAAGTAATTACATTCTAGAATTGTGAATTTCCTCAATAAACATCAGTATCGATGATTCTGGTAAGCTGCTCATCCATTCTGTCCTTGGAATGATCGAATTATACTTTTCGAAAATCGATTTTTAACCCACAAGAATCATTAGGTAATTTGAAGAATAATAAAGACCATATTCTTTTCTTTGTAAGAATGATGTTGAATTCTCTAGAGAACATCAAAGAAATCAATCTCATTTGGATAGGATTCTATCCTGACCATGTCAATAAATTTTGGAATGACACAGAAAGTACTCTATTCAAAAGAAGACCAATTGTAAATTGACAAGAAAGTATTCTATGATAGTGCGAAATGGCAAAAACTACTTTCCTATAGAGCCAGAATGCATTTTTATCGACTTCGAATGCATTCGTCAAACTATATAATGCGATATTCGTAAACCAGATAGCTTGCCACTGTTTTGATGAATGAGTTCACTTCCATTTTTTTCATAAAAACTTTTCATTAGGGTATAACATATGCACAGTTATGTAACATTGAATATTGCCCGTTTTTCGGTAACGGTGACATCGTCAAAATACGAATGAGAAAACATTCCCAACTTATACGTGCCGTTCGAGCTCATATTTTGTTCATAGCTATGGTTGATGATGTATATAAAATAGCTAAGAACATCTGTGTCACTGCTACTGGGTTTAAGAGGTAAGAGAAAAACAAATGCCACGGGAGATGGCGTCACCATCTCTGCGTTAGGCTTTCTTATTCTTTTCATATGTTGACTGTGACATATCTTTTTCAGTTGAACATTTTCTTATCAATTTATCTCATTTAAGACTATTGACACTAAAATTCTCAATTGAATTTGACTCTGCATTCAGATGATGGGAAAGAGAAAATATTTTTCTTTACGCTCTACAAAACAAAATCCTTTTGTTGTATCAAATTCAATTTTTGAATTCTTTTACATGGATGTGGGAGCGTTGTTTCGCTCATTCTTTTAAAATTCTTATTATCATTAGACTTTGATCAGTATCTTTCTTCGAATATTTATTTAATTTTAGTTCCTTCCGTTATAGGGTTTTTCATTTCTCTGTTTAATAAAAAAAAATGATAAAGTTATTATTTCATTTTAATTTTTTTCACCTACAAGAAAACACAAGAGAATCAAGAAATTGTGTGAGGATTCATTAATGAAACAAATAAAAGATATTATCTAGGTCAATCATGCTCGGTTGCATACGATCATCGTAAACAATGACCGTAGAAAGTCGTCGTACACAACTAGTGTAGTAATATGACGACTGGGAGATGTTTTGGTGAACGATCATCATGACCAGCTTTCGACGTTGCTAACGAGAAAATCGTTTCCCATTGTAAATTGCCCCTAAGTTCGAACTTTATGTATAAGGTAGATCTCAGTACGATACGAAAAATTCCACAAGAACAAGTGCACTTAGGCCTTCCTGCCAGAGTTATAGTCATTTTACTGAAGTTTTAGTCTATAAAACAGTATGTACAACAACAAAACTGAATGATGGTATTCCGTATGAAAACTTTGTCCACAGATAGGCCTACTTATAACTAGAATATTGTGAAAATTACAGTGCAAAATATTGTTTCCTTCACGAGATATTGGAATTCTAAAAATCACTCATATCTAACAAAAGATGCAAAAATCGCCTGTTTTTTCGAAACTTAATATCTCGTGAAGGAAACAATATTTTGCACTGTAACTTTCAAAATATTCTAGTTACAAGTTGACCTATCGATGAGCAAAGTTTCAGTTTGAAATACCATCATTCATTTTTGTTTTGATATATACCGTCCTATAGACTAAAATTCCAGTAAAATGACTATAATTCTGGCGGGAAAGTCTAAGAGCATTTGTCGTTTTGTAGTGTTTTCATATCTCACTGGGTCTATCTTATGTACGAAGTTCGAACTTAGGAACTGTTGATCATTTCGAATGGTTCCTTCATAAGTAATAATATTTACTTTTCAAAAGAACCCGAGAGACAGTCATTGAGTTATGCTTAGCACAGTATTCTCATAGCAGTTAATACATTTAGAACTGTTTTATTTTTTCAAAACTATTTCATACAGTACAGAGTATCGATAAGATGCAAGATCCTCACTAGCATTTCCATAGAAAAGTAAACAATCATAAACCCATATCGAAAGTTTAAAGTCTTTTTCTTGGTTATCATGTCATGATAGCAAAATGTTGAGTTGTTATATGAAGTAATTTTAAATCGTTGTGATGCAGTTGATGCAATCAACGTTGAAAACTCCTACATTTATCTGATTCCTAATTAAAGAGAAGAAAAACAATTTAAAGGTATTTTGTGCTGACCTACGTCGAATGTGTAAGGAAAAGTGTGAATCTCTAATCACTGCCCGGATAACCTGTCACTGGGCAAATAATTAACTATACTATTTGAAGAAACTGATTGCCGATTTAGATGCCTCGTCTGTAAAAATCATTGCACAAACTTTATTCAGAATCGCGGCTAAAATAGAAATAATTTCCTTCTTCCATTAGGGACAGAGTAGATATCAAACGCTATTAATCCAACTCAATTCTAGTTTATTCTGCTGCGTCAAATTATCCTTTCGTTATTTTGAAATTTTCAGTAATGGCTGACAATCAAAGTTCAAATGACACAGAAAGCATTTCATTTGCCAACACCGAAATCTCTCTATCGCGTACTGCTCGATTTTGGATTCTTCTTCTATTTGATGTTCCATCCACTATTTGTGCATTCTTCGTTCTCTTCTGTATCCTTATTGATCAAAAATCACGCTCTGCTGTCAAGAACCATGTCCTGATCGTTTTGCTTCTTCTTGGCTTGAGTTCTCAATTAATCGATGTTCCTTTCTATCTCAATTTTATCGTATATTCGAATGTTGTTCCACCGAACTCTTCCATCTGTCTCTTGTGGTGGTTTGTAGATATTGGTATGTACAATGGAGGAACCATATTTATGGCCTGGATCGCATTGGAACGACATATTATCGTATTTCATGATCAATGGATTTTAACGAGAAAGAGACGTATATTGATACACTATTTGCCATTGCTTTTTTTAATCTTGTATATTTTTATTTATTATATTTATGCCATTTATTATTTTCCCTGTGAAAATGATTACGACTATACATTACCAATCTGCAATGCGTCTCCATGCTATCAAAGTCATCCAATTATGGGCATATGGGATTTGTTTATCAATAGTGCTTTGCCATCATTTCTCGAAGCATTTTTTAGTTTCGTTTTTCTTTTTCGAGTCTTCTTGCAGAAATATCACTCTCATTTACCAATGCAATGGCGTAAGCAGCGAAAGATGACAATTCAGCTCGTGTCTCTCTCTTTTCTTAACATGGCCGTTACTTTTCCAGTCAGTATTATTACGATGGCTCATTTTTGTGGTTTACCAAAAGATATTGGAGTTGAAGCCTTACAATATTTCTTTTTTCTTTGTTATTTTGTCATTTTTCTCCTTCCTTTCATCTGTCTTGCGTCGATAAGTGGTGTGAATAAAAAATTTCAAGAAAGAATACTTCGTCGACGACAACTTCGACAATTCATAGCAACGGTCAAACCTGTAAATTTCAGAATAGCTATGGCAATGCAGCATTAAATGAAACATTTTGACACTCTATTTTTTTTGTTTTCTAAAGTTCAACAAGCCTCTGTCCAGAGTGAGAAAAATCAATTTTAAAATAATAGATTATTGTGTTCCTTTGATGTTGTGTTGTGTTCAAAAACGCTCATAGACTATTGATGATCTTTTTTTTTTTGAAGTTTGCTGTTTATTGTTATGCTCGGAAGCACATACATAAAGCTATGGGAAAAAGAGAAAAAAGATAAGAAAAGGAACTAGAGAGAGTGAAAACAAACAAAGAAAGTACAAAAAAGAAAAATATAAGCACAATGGGGAAGCAGGACAAAAGCACTCAAGCAAGCAGAATCTCATGTCTCTCTCTTTCACTATTGATGATCTTATATGCAGTGAATCGTGAACGATTCAATAACTGCTTTAATTTGATGAACGGATGCTATGGCTATATAAGCATCCTATGGTATGGCAGTCGAACTCTGCTGAATTGGGAATGTGACTGGAAAGAAGTTACATTTTGTGTGAAATTCAGAATTGTTCCCTAATATCTGATGGGTTAACTCAATCATTAATCTGATATGTGGAAATAGAGATCCAATAAATTATATTTATATTGGGTATGAGCGTGGATGAATGGAAAACTCACACTTACACCCACACCCTTATTCATATTGACA